GGAGGAGGAGGAGGAGGAGGAGGAGGAGGAGGAGGAGGAGCGATACTAACATTGATTCCGTTTGGGTGTTTGGACAGAACGTTGCAGAATGATCGACAGCCGCGTGGAACGGATCCAATTTTACCAGCCGTATTGGAATTTCTGGAGGAAACGGAAGAAACGTTTTTTCATGCAGTGATCACGGACGTAGAACCGTCGGCACCGCAGTTCAAATTGGCGCCCACTTATACGCTATACTTGGCAGCGAGGTATCGCGCGAGCACGCATTACAGACCAGAGTTGCAACCAACGGAGAGGGCGCACAGGCTGACCGTGATGCTGGCGAACGTTGCTAGCATGATACAACGAGTGATACAGGTGAGAGCGATTAGATGAAGGATTGTTTGAGAAGAGGGAGGAAAATGATGGGATTTCGTAGGAGCGGTACATGGACGCTTCCTCTCTGGCTCTCTGGTTGGCGAACGGTTCGGAATTGTTGCATATGCTGAAAAACGATCGACATGTCGGAGCATTTTCGACGAGAGCGCAGGACATCTTGATGGAAGCAGTTCACACGGCGTTCACGTCGTTGGTACGGTGCATTTCCCTTGAATTGGCGCCGGCGATGTCGCAGTTCATGGCCGATGCGGACGAGCCAGCAAAAGAGGCCGGAGTTTTACAGATATTCTCGAGCACGATGGCTTTGTTGAGGCGATGCAGGGTGAACGCCGCCCTCACGATTCAGCTGTTCAGTCATCTGTTTCACACGATAAACGCAAGCGCGTTCAACGCGTTGGTTTCGAACACGAATTTGTGCGTCAGGTGGTTCGGCCGTCGATTAAAGGCAAGACTGAACGCGCTCGAGACTTGGGCGGAAAGACAAGGCTTAGAACTGGCAAGTCAGTGTCATTTGGCGACGATCATGCAGGCGACTCACCTTCTTCAAGCACCCAAGTACAACGCGGAGGAACTCGCCACCCTGAGTTCCACTTGTTTCAAGCTGAATTCCCTTCAAGTCCGCGCGCTGTTGCAAAAGTATCAGCCAGCCGCGGACGAGCCAAGACTGCCGGCCGAGTTGATCGAAAACGTGGTCAGAGTGAGTGGTGATCGGTATTACCATACACGTGTACACTAACACGGCACGTAGCCCGCCTAGCTTTAATATGCGCGGCCTGAAATTTCAGGTAGCCGAAAGCGTGGCGGACACGCTTGCGCGCGCCGACGGCAGAGAGATTCGACTGGAGGAAGAGCCTACGCTCGCGTTGGCTCTTCTTCTTCCCGAAGACGGATACAGTTGCGAAGTGATTCGTGGCGTGCCACCAGGATTAGCGGAATTCTTAAGCCCGTTGCAACGGGACGGTCTGTGCCGTATGGCACCGCAACCCACTAGCAGCGGATATTGGACAATATACATGATAGATCACCATAACAACGTGAGTTCTTTTAGCTCCGCACGGTACTACTATCTACCCGGCACATAATTAACCTTTCGGTCGTGTATAGTTTCGTAGTCCAAGCGCCATGAGCAATAGATCCGGGGGTTATTCTTACCACGCGGGATCGAGTGCGGCTCAACCGGAGATACACGTTATAAAATTGCACAAGTCAACGAATGGAATGGGTTTGAGCATCGTCGCCGCAAAGGTATATTTCATACCCACACACGAAACGAACGATTTTCTTTCGAAACCGCTGTACCGCTGCTCTATGGAAAATTGAACGTTTTGCAGGGTGCTGGTCAAGACAGACTTGGCATATATATAAAGAGCGTAGTCGCGGGTGGTGCTGCTGATGCTGTAAGTAAATAGTTTCTGCATCTTGTATACGACGTAGTTGATGTACATACTTGGTCATTCGTTTCTTTTAATCCACGCAGGATGGTAGATTGACAGCTGGTGATCAGCTGCTCAAGGTGGACGGGCAAAGTTTAGTGGGAATTACTCAAGAAAAGTGAGTTGTAACGGTTGCGCGGAGCGAGGTGATAACAGAGGGAACGTTTGAATGTTTTTGAAATTTGTAGGGCTGCCGAATATTTGGTTCGTACTGGGCCGGTAGTAACGCTGGAAGTTGCCAAGCAAGGTGCCATATATCATGGTTTAGCCACGTTATTGTCGCAACCGTCACCGGTAATGACCAGAGGTATGTATCTTTCGATTTCACTTTGTCGTGCGCGAAACAAATTTCACGGGGTAGTAACGTAAGCGCTAGCAAGCGGGGTAACAAGCTTGACTGACCGACCGACCGACCGACCGACCGACTGACTGACTGACTGACTGACTGACTGACTGACTGACTGACTGACTGACTGACTGACTGACTGAGTGACTGACTGAGTGACTGACTCACTGCGACGATACAGTACATTTGCTTCTGAACGCTTTCTCGAATCGTTCATCGTCCATTGTCCATTCGCATATACTCGCGCACATATATGTATAACTACGCTCTCTAATATCTTTCCGTATATGTAATCGGATTCAATCGCTTCACTAACGCTTTACTAACTGATTGTGTTCCTGAGCAGCGCACAAAGTTCGACCCAAGTCCGAGCACTTGGAAGCTTCGAAGGTGCAGGAAGCGAACGAGGAGCCATCTACGTCGCATTCAATGGGTAATCTGTTGAGTGTACCGAGGCACGCGATCGATTCGGACCGATCGATCGATTTAGTACCAGGTGCGATACTTTCTCCGACTTGTCCGAAGGACGCGACGGGATATCGTCACGGTGGTTTCGATTCGTACCGCGTTGCTGCTGCGTCGTATCGACTCTCGAATCGGTGTTGCAACCCTTCCTGGCATATTTCGCCGCCGGAAGATTCGTCACAGACGCGTTGCTCTCGGGTTCGAAATTCCTCGTGGTCATTAACGGCCGACATCGATGTCGACGGCGGTGGCAATGGTGGTGGTGGTGGTTGCGATGGTGGAGGTGGTAATGCTGCTGATGGTGATGGTGATCGTACGGTTTTACGTTTGTCCCTCGAACGTGAAATCCATTCCTCGTATACGAAGAATTCTAATATTCCCGCGAGTCGCACGTACGCCTCGATCAAAATTGAAGAACCGATTGGGAATGTGAGCGCTGTCCAAAGTCCGACGATAACCGTCGTGGACTGTAATTACGAATCTTCGGCTGCGGTGAACGTAATCAAAGCCGACAGTTCCTCTCTCGACTCTATACCCTATATCGATCAGACGGATGAAACGGCAACGTTCGGATATTCTTGGGGATCGAGTTTCGATGGAGAAGAAAGTAAAAGGTCGACAATCGAACAGGAGGAGCAAGAGGAGGAGGAGGAGGGAGAGAAGAAGGGGCACATCGTCGTGCCGTTACTGAACCTCGATTTGTCCGGCTTAGATAGCGATGATACATCGACCGATCTGTTGTCCAACTTGAACAAGTGCTGGAAGTCTCCGGAAGAGGTGAGGTTAGGTTGCGGTGGTCGAGTAGCAGCCTTGGCGAAACACTTCTCGAAACTTGGTGATTCGGTGGAATCGATCGACCGCCACCAGCTGAATTCGGCCAGATTACCAGAAAATTTGAAGAAATTCGCTTCGGAGCCTAATTTCGCTTCGAGCGAAATGCTGTCGGGTCATCGGTTGTACAACCAGGCTAACAGGAGGGGGATGGAGGAGCAGTGCCGATCTGAATTAGATTTCAGAATCCAGAATGCCAAGATGACGCAACCCGTTGAATGCGCTGCTAGTGTTAACGACGGCTACTGCTACGAGGATTTGCGCGACACAGAGAAAGGAAAACGGAAGTTGTCACTGTCAGAGCAACAATACGTTATCGAACAGCTGAAGGAAATGTCTAATCTCGACGACGAAAGCACACCGACGTTCCATTCTCATCCTTGTCCTCCTTCTGCGTCAAATCGAAACAATAGGAAGGATACCGTCGATGACGTTGCGAGTAGCAACAGGTACGGTGTACCGATGCCGTCTCCGTATGACACACGTGAAAAATTGAGCAAACAATTCTCCAATTCCTATCCGAATTTCAAAAGAATGGGAGAATTGTCGCATGCTTGTGGGATAACAAAACAACCTTGTTCACAAACTCGTTCAGTCGAAGGGGGGGTAATAGCGATCGATCTCGAAGGTAGTCTGCTGCTAGCGACTCCAGTACGGATCGAAGAAATTCGAAAAGACAGGAGCAGCGAGCAGACGTTGCCGAAGATGACGATGCCCAGGAAAGATACATCGGTAATTCCTCGCGTTGATCGTTCAACCAATGAGCTCAACGAGAATTGGAAAAAATCGATCGATCGAACCACTTGTGCAACATTAAAGCGAACTTGTCTAGATGTCGATTCCTTTCTACGTAAGCAATTGACATTGCCCTCTCGCATCTTTCTAATTTCCTTCAATTTCCTCCTCGACTTTCGCTTGTCGTGCAAATTAGCGAAAGCGTATCTGGTGGTCGATCCTTGCCATTTGCACGCCACGCACCAATTGTCGTCTCTTTCGTTTCTCGTTTCAACATGCACTCTCTCTTCGTTTTTCCTTTTTTATCCCAACGGTAACTCGTTTCGACGAAGACTGAAAGGAAAGGAAGGAAGGGAGCGAGAAAGATGGCTTGCAGATCTCTTCGTTTTTCTTTCTGCTCGCTTTCGCACTACGATCCCAATTTTCCCTTATTTTTTACACGTGTGTGTTTCGCTACAGTTGGTTAAGCATGCGCATGACGCGTGTTCTTCGTTGCATGTTATTACACGTTACAACCAGTGTCTTTCAAACTTTTCCGCCGCCGAGGCGCATAAACGTATTGTACGATGGAATGTACCGACATATTTACATACTTACAAGCAACGAGAGCAGGCTGGGATTTTGAGAAACACTGTGTCACATTCGTTCGAAATGCCTTTTTCTCGTTTCTCCTTCTGGCTTTCTTTCCTTTCCCCTTTCTCCTACTCGTTTTCGGGTACGCGTTTCTCCGCATTGTCATTCACCGCTTTCATACAGATGTTTCCGCAAATTGTGCTTATCGCAGGACCTCGTCGCATGAGTGAACGAGACTTGCCATCGCGGCTTGGACGTGACGCAACTACTCCCCAGCAGCAAATGCATACCAGCAAGTCCGTGCCAGCGTTGCACAGTAAGTAAACTTCATCAAGCTATTCGAAGCGAGCACGTTGCTGCATTGTTTGTCACGTGACAAGTCGAAACGTCTCTTTGTTAACACAATATGTAACATGCGCAGAGATTCACCGTGCGTCTATTCATTGTGCGTGTAATTTTTGCAACAGACGTAGGAACGGATGGGAAGCAACAGCACGAGGTATTCAATCCTGGTTATAGTAGAGCATCGTCTAGTAACAGCGTCACACCACCAGTCACTCAACCCCCGCCGATCACTGCGATCAACGGTTCGACATCGCTGCGTTCTCGGTAAATCTTCTCCCCTTCTGATACTTCTTCCGATTTCCATGTTCCATGCTTCTTCTTCCGTAATAGTATTAGATCAACTTGAGATTTTCCTTCTCTTCGTTGTTATTTCATGTTTCGATTACTTGGAAACTAGCTCGAGTCATAATTTACATGACCCGGCAAGAATCGGAACATTGCCACCGAGCGGTCTCGTGAGTAGGCAACAGTCGTCGCCGAATTTAAATCCTGGTCAAATAACGACGAGTAACAACGGTTCGATCGTTGCTAACGTTGGAACGGGTTCGAACGTTCTTCAGGGTAACGAAGCAGAAAGATTTTATCAAAACTTGAGCATCTACAGAAATCAAGACACGACGACGAAACAGCGACAGCACAGTCCATCGCAACATTTGGATGACAGGTAGGTAGCTTTCGTTGTTCGTTGTTCGTTGTTCGTTGTTTGTTGCATGCCCGATGACCGACGACTGCTGACTTGTCCCTATTGACCTTTTCCTATTTCATTTCGCTACTCTTCCCATTGCTGTTCGATCCGATCGATTCGATATTAAATCTTCCCGCTTATCGCGTTCTTTCTCCCTTTTCTCGTAGAAATCCTCTACAGCTGCAGAAGAACTCGAGGGGCTCTCAAAACTCTTTGAACCGTCCGGCAGGAGCATTCGAAGCGAACACTCAACCCAGGGATCGTCCGATATCCGCGTACGTGACGCAACCTCAGCAGCAATCCTATCTCGGTGGGCAACCGCAGCAGCAAGCTTGCACGGCACCTCCGAGATCACAGTCCTCCCGGGACATAGTGCGACAGGAGGCGAAGCTGCAGGAAATGCAGGAGGAAGTGAGGCGACGCGAGTTACGAGCTGGCATTCCAGTGCCGTCGAATCAGTATCGACCGGTCGCGTATAACGTTAAACCAAATATTACCACCGTCCAATCTACCACTAGTCCTGCTACCCTTGTTCGGCCGAACAAATCTATCGGGTCTCAACAAAATTTGGGATCCAGTCCACCTGTAACAGTGGCCGCGCCCTCCATTCCATCGTCCAGTCATCTCGCCACTAGACAGACCAGTGCCTCCAGTTATGGTTACTTGGATGCGCAATATGGCTCGTACATGGTTCAATACGGAAAATCTCCACACGTGCACCAGCACCAGCATCAACATCAATCGCAACCTCAATCCCAACATCAGCATCAGCACCAACACCAGCTTCAACATCCACATCAACATCAACAGCATCAACATCCACATCAGCATCAACTTCAGCTTCAACATCAGCATCAGCACCAACACCAACACCAGCATCAACATCAATACCAACAAAATATGCAACAACAAAATCTTACTCACGTCCAGTATGGTGGTGGTGGTGGTGGTACGTCATCGTCCAGAGGAAAGAATGATTTAACTCGGTTGCAAACCAACGGAATGTTGTTTGATTATGGAAGAGATCAGAGTGTTCAAGAGGTTGCTAATGCGTACGCCGATCAGAATCAACACGTTACCGCCGGTTCGCAGTATTACTTGAATGCTAATTCGGATGTACAGAACGATCAGTATAGCGGTGAAAGCGGCATGGCTAGAGGGCACAGTGTATTGCCAGAAGGGGGTTCTTCCATTTCCAATGAAATTCCAATGCGTCCAGCTCCCCTGGAGGAAGGATTTGCAGAAAGCCCTCCACCTCCACCGCCAGACACCTCGACTCATCCTCTTTACAATAAACAGTCGGATTCGAGGTAACATCTTGTTCGGTAACATATATGTTCCCCATAGTTCTGCAGAGTGAAATCAGACGAGTAAGTCGATGGATCATTGAGAAATGTTTCTCCACCTAGGTACACCGCGAGTATGCAAGATCCTCCTCGTGGAGGATATTACCCAGCAAACACGACAGGCACTGTGTTACAACCGCGTCAGTATCAGTACAGTGCGACGAATCCTTGGCAACGAGAGGAGAGGGAGAAGGTAAGCGTAAACTAAATTAAACCAGCTTGGTAAATATGTAATATGTAGTAGCAGCAGCTAGCATTCTCCACTTCGTCGTTACGAAGTGAATCCACAGGGATTACATTTATAGATTTTATACTTGACTTAGGAACAAGCACGTAGAAGAGAAGCTGCGAGGCAGTGGCGCGATCAACAAATAGCAGAATTGAGCGCGTTACCTCATAGAACGTCGCAACAAGAGGAACAGTTACGAGCTCTTCAGTTGGAAAGAGACTTTCAAAAGAGAGCGGAGGAAGTTGCGAATCAACAAGACGACGACGAGGAAAGTAATGATTTGGACGCCGAGAATATTCAAAGAGTTCAGGGCTTGCTTAGAACAACGGTAAATCAAGACCACCGAGCTAATTCGTTGGAGCAACACATTGATCTTTCCAGAACCAACATGGCTAATCAATCTATCAGAGGAAACCATACTGTTCAATCGATACATCCTACCAACCTCACCACGCCGCATGGGAACGCCGCTGGTACTGTTTCTCAACAACACCAACAACAAGACCAACATAATTCTGTCTCGCATATGTCATCTGATTTTCAACACGAACAAACTAATCAAATACAAAACAACGTAGGACAAATTTCTATGCCATCGTTGATTCATTTGGCTGTTTCCCAAAAGCCTCATGGCCTCGTGCAATCTATCGAAGATAAGGAAATGTATCGTAGGAACGACGAAATTAAGCAGCGGAAACAAGTCGAATTCGATGACGTTCAAACGAAGAAGAAGGAGGAAGAAGCTAATAAGCAACAACAGATACATCCACAAATATATCAGCAGCAGCAGCAGCAGCAGCAGCAACAACAACAACAACAACAACAACATTTGCAACAATCGCAATCTCATCTTAAAATTCAACAGATCTTGCATCCTAGTATGTTGCGATTGGATAGCCTGGTCATCAACGGATCGAACGCGTCTTGTAAGTATTTCTCTTTTTACCATCGGCTGCGGATTCCAATACTATAAAACAATCAACTGCTTTCATCTATGATTCACAATATAAAATTCCGTTCGTTTGTGTGTGTGTGTCTGTATGTCTGGTTAGCTCCGCAAAATGGTAACAACGACGCGCCTCTACCTCCGGAACGGGGTTCCAGTTATGCGATCATGTCGCAGCAAAGTGCCCTCAGATCGAACACCGCAAATCCCTCTAATGTAATTACGCTAGCATCTCAACAGCAAATAGTGTCCGTTAAGAGAGTTTCCTTTCACGATTCTAACGCAAACGTAGAATCTGTTCAACGAAATCTATCGTCTGGAAATTTGAGCTCGAATCAGACCGCAACCATGGATGTCATTGTAGAAGATCCAAATGTAAGATCTAGCCTTGTGTATGCATATTCACTTATAGAAGTGCATATACTTATTCTCATTCTCAGTAGTAACCTCTAACAGTGTCTCGAGTTGCCGCAAGATAATCTTTAAACTGAATCGGATACGATGCTATTTTCAGAATTTCATCAATGATGCAGAAATTTTGTTGGCATCTCCAAAAACGCCCGAAGGCCCCACTGGAATTCCAATCACTGGTAGTACACCTGGTGTGATTGGTGCTCAAGAAGTGTACAAGTAACGTTACATTATCATTTCCTTCTGCTCAAATTCTATAATTCCACGGTGGTTTATCTTCTTTTTCTCTACGTTCCTTCTATTCACCATTCGACCGCTTTCTTCTAGGGATCCGAGACAAAGACGACTGGCTGAAAAACAAAAACAGCAACAAAATTCTCAAGTTGGTCACGTACCTGAAAAACTCAGTTTCAAGGAAAAGATGAAAATGTTTGCAATGGAGACCGGCGAAGATGGAACTCCGCGGGACAAGGTAAAAATTTCACGCGCGCAACGCGAGATCGATAACATCGGTAATCCCGGTTCCAACCTACTGAATAGCAATAACAACAACAGCAACGGCAACAGCGGTAACAACCCTAATAACAATAACAACAGTGGCAGCGGCAGCAACAGCAGCACCAACAACAACAACAACAACAACACCAATAATATCAACAACAGCAACAGCAACCGGCAACAATAGAAATAGAAGACTGAAAATTGACGTTTATTTTCTTGTCAGATTAGATTGAATCCGCCTTTCTAAAATACCAATTCCAATAGGAATGGTTCGGGAAAGAACTTCTATACACTATTACCACTGGTCTGTCAAACCGAATTATTGTCCTATTTTACGTGTAAACAGAGAACACGTCGCTGTACGTGTTGATTTGAACGACATCGGTTATTCCATATGAGCGAGAGAGCGAGCGAGCATACATCTCGAATCATTCCAACAAATATTTGCACTGTTTCTGACCAAAAATATGCTCCGAAGAAGATAAATACAAACGTAGATTAATTATCGATTTTAGTGACAGCGTAGTTCGTATTGGATGCATCCGATATCCTACTCGTGTTCCATTGGACCAATTGATACATATTTTCCGTAATTACGCGCAACGAGTAAGTTGCGTATGATGAAAAGTAACGCGCCTTGGACTTTAGAATTACATAAAGGCTATATGTCATGAATGTATATAGATAGTATTAGTTGAATTTTTAGAATTATTTGTTATTTACGATGTTGTTTCGTATTTATATTTGATGTGACGCGTTGCGTGTATCGAGTACGGAGTACTTTGATGAAACGCGTATGCACGTTTTCGTTACTCACAATCAGCCAAAAGGCACGATAGCTTTAATGCGATCGTATGCGATGGTAGAACGTGCACGGATTTAATCAAACAGGCAGCTTTAAAGTGAAACAATGACGATGCAAGTAGTGAAAGAAAAGAGGCCATGTGTTTCACCAATACAATTTTTATGTCAGAAAACACAGTTACGTATACATTTGATTTTGATATCTTGTGGCCCTAATAAATACCGATGATTATTCTTTTGCTCCTTCGATTTGTTTCGTATATGCATACACACATATACGTATACGCTATGCGTGCTTTAGCGCAACCCACTGATCATCTGTGTATAATTAATTCTTCGTGAACGTTTCAAAAGGGAAGAAGGAATAAATGTCTGTACGTCGTGTGTGTATGGTGCGCGCGCGTGTGCGTGCGTACGTGTGCGTGTGTATGAAAGGCTTGAGTTTTGAAGGAAAAAGTACCGAAGCACGTACAAACGCTATCGAGCAATAAAAAAAGGAAAGAAAACGTTTTAGACCTCGCGTCTTTGTTCGCGTTGATATTTTGCATATTTGGTCATTTTGTTTTGGCTACACACACGCGCAGTTACTCTTAAAATCATGGAAAAAGTATATATTAAGTGAATAAACAGACTATCGTTCCGAATAATGTGCAGCGAATAGAAATATCCTCTTTGTTGTGTACAGCGAATTATTACTAGACAAAATATTATATATTTGCACTATATTTTTTCTAACATGCTTTCATGTTCCGTCGAAACAAAAATAATTCGTTGGTGACTTAAAACGAATACATACCCTGCGACTGTATACCTTATTGCAAAGTATTGTCATAACATATACATTAACGATTATACTTTTACAGATCACCTATTTTTTAATTATTGTAAAAGACGTACGATGCGATTGAGAAAAATAAAAGAAAGTCATTCCTATTTTACAGTGATAGAGAAAGTATTTTAGACGAAATCACGGTTATTCGTTGATTTATATTTTTCAGACTAGCAATAAGACACGATGTATGCCCGGATAGACGATAATACAGAAAATTGTTCTTCAGTTATACGCAGCTTGTTGTTGAAGAAGAAAAGAGAAAAATTCTGTGAAAGAACAGGACGAGAGTATTCGTACAATGATTGTCGCTTATTCATATGCTTGAAGCTGAGTCTTATGAGTAATGAGTATGTAGGTATTTCATAGCAAACGGAAATAAATTATGTGAAATCACGTGATTGTTAGAAACAATGTAGGAAATTTGATCTAGGTCATCGAGAAATGCACGTAATACGTATTTGAGATGAAGTTACCATAATCTTGCCTGTAGATTTTGAAAAAATGTGTTTACGGTGTTTTTGATCTATTTTACCACCTAATTACTTGATCGTATATCTCGTCGCGTTCGTCAAATCTACTAAATTGAACTGGACATTACATTAACTGGATAAGAGAGTTTGAGTGAAAATGAAGAATTTTGACAGATCGTTAAATATATTTATTAGCAGAACGTTGTTACATTATCACATGGAGTGGCTATTTCGCGGTACAACGAAACCAGCGAGCCAGCCAATCAAAAAACGTTTTATCC